GAAAATTATACAAAAAAGGCAATCACTTACATGTTTGAGTTGAATTTTTTAGAAATAAAAGTGAGTTTTTCCAAATACAAATTTACACATTTTGACAATTGTACTATAGAAGTTTTGGATTTTCCCTCATTCTAGAACAAATCCCACATTACAAATAAAAATGTAACACTCCAATAACGTAACACTCTAATATAATACACTAAAAAAAATTTTGGTGTACTTTTTTCAAACATAACAATGTAACACTCAAAAAAATTCCTTAATATGCTTTTTCCAAATGTAACACTCCAATATAACACTCAAAAAAAATTTCTTAGTATATTTTTTTTTTCCAAACATAACACTCTAATGTAACACACAAAAAAGTTCCTTTGTCTATTTTTTTTCAAACTTAACACTCCAATCAATGTAATCCCAAACATAACTCTCCGTGTAATATACAAAAATATTGAAAGCTCATTAGTGTACTTTTTTCAAACGTAACACTCACAATTTGAAATTATGCATTTGTCCAAAACTTACTATAGAGTTTTTGCATTCCTTTTGGAATGGTTTGATGAATCCAACATCCTTTTGGAATGGTTTGAAGAATCCTGTTTTGGAGTGTTACATTGGAGTTTTTTTGTATGTTACATTTGAGTGTTACACTAAGAAATTTTTTTAGAGTGTTAAATTGGAGTATTACATTTGAGAATTATACACTAAGAAGTTTTTTTGTGTATCATATTAAAATGTTACACTAAGGAGTTTTTTTTAAAGTGTTATATTTAAGAAACATACACTAAGGAGTTTTTTTGAAGTGTTATATTGGAGTGTTACATTTAAGAAAAGTACACTGAGGTTTTTTTTTTTTTTTTTGGAGTGTTATGTTTTATTGTTACATTGGAGTGATACAGGAGTTTTTGTACTCCTTTTGAAATATTTGAATAATCTCACCTCCTTTTGAAATATTTAAAGAATCTTATATTTCAAGTCATTTTTGTACTCATTTTGAAATATTTTTCAAATAAAAAAGATTCTCATATAAAAATTCCTCTCAAATTTGATTCACATATATTATGTACCTTACCTTTCTAGCACAAAAGAAAAAAGAAAAAGAAACATAATAGAAAAAATGGTATAACTGTAAATCTAATTTTCAAATAGTATATTAAATTTACCTTTCCAAAATCAATGATTAATTGGAAAAATCCTATTTTCACACACCTAATTATCTCTCTATATATTATTTCTCAGTACACACACTTATTAATTTAATTATAAGTTATTGTTCTCATTTCACACATTTTATATTCCAATTATACCCTAACTTGTATCCTTACACACACCAATTAAACCCTCATTCCACACACCTATAACCCATTATGGTCATCTGTCTCTCTCTCTCTAAAATAGAGAGATGATTCTTATAAATTTTGAATGTCTATCACTCAAAATTGCAGATATCTGAAACTAACCTAATACCCACTTGAAATTTTTAATAAATCAAAGCAATTCAAGAACAAAAATATATAAAAATGCAAAGGTACCTATTCAATGTTGAGAATTTTCAAGTGAGAAGACAAGACCATTCTAAGACTAAAATGATCAAAACCCAAATAAGAAAAAACTTATCAGTGATCACTGTCTCGATCCATCGCCGCCGATCTAAATGGATCGCCGGTGGCGACTTTGTGGCCGCCATGACTAGAGAATAGACTCTTGATACTTGGACGGCAATGCCATCTTTCTTTTCTGCCTTTTCAACTTCGAATTGAGTTTGATTTCGGCAACACTTTCTCTCTCTTGAGTTCCAAATTGGGTTATGATGAGTTGATTGAGTTTGAGAGCTCTTCTACTTCGCCTAATGACTCTCCTCTGTATGTATGGAACACCAATTACAGATCCTGCAAATTACCTTGACCAGTAGGTCAAGACCTTTGCATTGAATCGGGGAAGATGAGGAGTTGAATTCGGAGGAAGACAATGAATATGTGGATGAAGCAATGAAATGGGTAGTGATCTATGAATGGAATGGATGAGCAGGAGAAGAAGAAGAAGAATAAGTTGATAATGATGAAAAAGTAGAAGTAGCAGAACAAGTCCTCTGAGAATTTTCGAATCTTCATCAGAATTTTTGTAAATTTGGATCAAACAAATCGAATTAAATAAAGGGATACAAGAGTAACGAGAAAATTTGAGAGAGAGAGAAAGATGGGAAGTGGATGTGTAGAGAGAATTTTTTCATATATAATATTATAGAGGTTGTTGGATGTCTATTATAATCATTTCTATTTAAGATGTAATTGTTCTTAAATTAATATTTCATTAAGTGTGTGCCTGAACTAACTATGTGTGTGGAAATAGAATTTCTTGACTAATTGGTCTACAAGAAAATCTTGGAGACTAAGGCTTCGTTTGAGAACAGGCTAATTTAGTAATTTTTTAACTATTTAGCTAAAATATGAGCTAAAAAAAACTAGTATGTTTGAGATGACTTTTTGACTTTTTACAAAAAAGATGTGCAAAAAGTAGAGAGAAAATAGAATCTTTGACTTTTTTGTATGAGTTGTTGATTTTTTGTCTAATTTAGTAACTTTTTGACTTTTGACTAAAAATAAAGGTTCCCAAACGAGGCCTAAATGGATCCTCATTCCTCAATATGGGATTCATAGGTAAAGTTTTCCAAATATAATAGGGTAATTCCAAATATAACAGGGTAATGATATATAAATAAAAAAATTAGATAAATTACATTCGCATCTCTTAAAATTTGAAAAAAATACAATAAATTTCACAAGTTTACATAATTATATTAGGCTCCTTTAAAGTTTTAATTTACGTTTATGCTCCGTTCATCTCAATTTAAAATACCTTTTTTTGTTTACAAATAATTTTTCTTAATTTATCAAATTGTGTTTTTTATCTCATGTATTACAAGTACATTAGTTTAATGATTTAACCACTAATGTTAAATATTAATATATCAACAACTAATTAAATGATAAATAAAATACAATAAATAAATATAATATATTAAATATTTTATTACGTACAATCATTTGTTGCCTAGTATCTTTCCCTAATTACATGTAGTTAGTGATTTGATATCCAACTAAAGTAGCTAATCAATAATTGAGTTTGATGGAATGTGTTTCTATAATTTTGTATTATAAAATAGGCAAGGAAAGACTCTAATGAGCTTTGAAGTGGGTAAAAATTAACTAAGTCTTGGTGCTTGACCCAACGCAAGATCTGCACCAAAGTGGGGCAAGCTTGGAGCTCGGCCCAATGACCAAACACTTGTTCCGAAGCAAGGCAATCAAGGTAGCTCAGCCCAATACTAGGCCCACTCCGAAGTGGGCAAGCATCTGAGCTCGGCCCAATGACCAAACACTTGTTTCGAAGCAAGGCAATCAAGGTAGCTCAGCACAATACTAGGCCCACTCCAAAATGGGCAAGCTTCTGAGCTCGGCCTGACATGCAAGGCTTGCTCCGAAGTAGGCCGAGTAACATGTTGGACCTCTAGGTTGGACAACCATTTCGAAATGAACCAACTTGAAGAAGGCCAACACACCAAAGATCTATCTTGAGCTCACAAGAGACAAACAACTCTGCTCTTCTCCCTCTATTTGAACAGAACGTGGAGACATGGATGCACAGAAAGATAAGGCGCACACACGACAAACCTACACCTGAGTGTCAAGCGGAGTAGTCGTCCTCCTCCAATAGGAGAGGATCACTCCTCCAATGGGAGAGGAACACAAACAAGACAAACAGGACAAATGGCAGAGAGAGACGGTCTTGGAGGTCAAGCAATCTTCTCCTATAAAAGGTAAGCACTATTCACCGTCGAGGGATCTGCAATCCACACATTCAATATATGCACACTCTTTGCATTCTCTCTCTTCTTCTCTCCTAGTCCCTGACTTTACCATCGAAGGAATTTCTGACCAAACCCTGCTCGAGCAGCCTTACCGTTTGTTACTCTATGCAGATCTTCGCTTCCCGAAATACGATGTTCTTCCACGAAGTTCTACCCTTCTTCATAATGGAAATTACCTCGCACAAGCTTAATAATGATACTCTTACAAAATTTGTTCATACCTTTACTCCACTCATTTAAACCCTAATCATAATACCTCTCCATTCCAGCCACCACTCATTACCACCAATTCTACTTGTCATCTCCAGTCTATCTCTACTGCTCCCACCATCACATAGTCCCTCTCCATTACTTCCTGCACTGCCTAGCGCCAGGACCTTCTCAACCCCTCATTTTTCTATAGATCAATACAAGAAAAAATAAATAAAGAAACAAATTATGTACGATAGAGATCACATTAATAGGTCAGAAGAAAATGACTAAGATGAAAATAAAGGATCGGAGGAGAGGATTATGAGGGCACAGTAAAGAGGAGTGGTTGTAGGCTACCGGGGTTGGTCATGGTGGTAGTCCAAGGTAACAAGGGTTAGGATTTTTAATTAGTATGGGTGAGAATATAATTAGAACTAATATGGGAATTTAAAACCAAAAATAATATAAAAAAAAAAAATTTAAATAGGTTGGAAAAAATTAAATATGCACATCCAATTACCGACACCCTTGTTTATAGACTTCTCTAAAAGGAAAAATTATAAGTAAAAAAAATCAGAATTTGACCTTTATAATAAAATAAACTATGAATTTTTAATTTTATCAATTTAAATTTTAAATTTTTTATTTATTTTTCAATTATTTATCGATTCTGTTAAATAAAATCGATAAAAAAATGAGTATTTTAATTATTAAAATTAATGAAAAAAAGAAGTTTAGACATTTTATATAAATATATTGAATTTAATAATTAAAATAATATTTTTTCATCAATTTTACTTAATAAAATTAGATAAATGATTTAAATTAAAAATAAATAAAAAAAATTAAATTTAAATTAACAAAATTCAAAATTTATTCCTGACTTTTTGTCCATAATTTTATAAATTTTCATCACAAAATTTTGTTGTATTTTCATCACAAAATAATGAATAAAGCTACCCGTCTGACAGGGGGTCCACACCGAGTCGGACCCCGACGGTCCACGACTTCATTCAAATCCCGCAAAAACCAACCGAAACTCTTCTTCATCTCTCTCTCTCTTCGCAATTCTGGTTTCCTCTGAGTCTGATATACCTCTCTCTCTTCCAATAATATGCACCGTTCATCGAGTGCGACTCGAGTATCATCATCATCGGAGTTCCTCAATCACTCCTCTTCATCATCATCATTATCATCATCTTCTCAATCTCAGACTTTCAAGCCTCTCTCAATCTCCTCCGATCAACAACTACCCACATACAATCCCCAATCCCAGGTCGCCAAGAAAGAGCGAACTCGTCTCAGATCCGCAGAGACCGCTGTTCATCTCATCCCACTCTTTCTCATCCTATGTGCCATCGTCCTCTGGTTTTTCTCCAACCCAGGTGAATTTCAACCCCAATTTTCTCATTCACCCCCTTTGCAGCCTCTTTTTTGTTGATTAGATTGTGAAAGATTAGATTTTGGTACCCATTAATTGGTATTCCAAGAATTTGAAAACTTTGTTCAATTATAGAATATGTGAATCAATGTGTATATATATGATTATGCAAAAGAAAATGAAAATGAGAAGAAAAGAGAGACATGAGAGCAGAGTTTCAATGGGGTTGACCTCCTATGAGCCAAACCCAATCCTATCAAACTGGATTCTAATAACTGCCATTAACAGGCTTATCTAATTGTAATATCTAAATAAATAGAAGTTGGTTTTTTTATATATTTTTTAATAATATACTTGGATGATATGTGAGAAATTTGGAGGGCCATGGACTTAGAGATCTACCTTCCTCGAAGTGGGTTAGACATGGCTCATTTATCCTTTTTTTTTCTTTTCTTTTTTTTTTCTTTTTTGTAATTTATCTTGTTTTTTCTTTAATTTTTATCAATTATGTCATGACATATGCATTTGTATGCTAGAACTCAGATGACACCATTAAGGGGAGAACAACAAAAAATAACCTTCAAGTGTAGGTTTGGTAAATATGTTTGAAATTTACTTGATTCCAAACCATTTTTCCTGTATATTATGAAATTTACTTGATTCTAAACTTTTGTCATGGTTTTAAAACATTATGACATTGCTTATTATGGTTAATGGAGAACATTCTCCCTCACTTTTGAAAGTCCATGTCCACAAACATGATTTAAATTTTGTTGGATTAGAATAGTGCAAGCAAATTGCTGACTCTACCCTCCTCAAAGAAAGGGACTTGTTACAAAATTCTCTTTACACCTGTTGTCGCAAGACTGTACCTTCACATTCAAGACTTTGAAGATATCTGTTGAAGCTTTGTTTCGAAGTCTAGAGAAAGAGACTCCTTAGTTTATCATTTACATTTTTATAATTTCTTATGTCGAGTTCTTGATCACATCTGCAGAATTGAGATAGAGACTCCTTTGTACTCTCTATTATTCTTATTCTCTTGGTTCTATATATTTTATCTAATGAGAGGTGATACTATGTATATGGCTGGCCTTTTAAGGCAATCTTAAACTTGTTCTATAGATAAAGCAATAAACCACTATTACTAATGGGGGAAATATGTTCAATATGAGTTGCAGGCTTCACTAGAAAATAATGAAAATCGAAAAGGTGGAAAGTAGAACCATACCAAGTTTTAAAGTTCAAAGCTATTTGTTTTTCTATACAGCAGTAGATTTGACAAATAAAGGTGATTCAATGCCAGAATTGAGGGCCTGACAGTTAATGGAGATATCGACAATGTTGGTCCAAGAAGCAGCTCAGTTTCAGACCTGAAGCCAGGGAACTTCAAATCAGCAAAGCCATTGGCAGAGGCAGATCCACAAGATTAATGAAGGTTTAGTCCTTATGTAGGGTTATTTTTTACAATATTTGAACAAACCCATCCACTGTACTTGTTTAGCTGTATAAGCCATTTTTTAACAGACTGATTCATGTGTTTTATTTTCATTTTCATTTTCATTTGTATGATACCGAGCCAGTTTTTACCACATTGAAATGCAGAAGAAAAGCAACTTTCAAGTTTACTCCCAAAACATTCAATAACATTTTACGTAAAATGCAGAAACAACTTTACATACAAATAGGGTTTGTTGATCTGAATTTCCTAGCATACTATAGAGGTTCACATTCAAAATTTGTATGTTCTAACATGGGTCCAAGCCTAACAACCTTGGGGATGATAACATTGTTGCGTACGGAACAGACAGCCGGATTCTCCCATTGCAAAAATGATCCTGTCAGATTTGCACGCACGGTTAATGGAAAGATACGTGGCCATCTTTCGCTTCCATAGGATCTGAAAGCTTCTTCAATGGTTGTAGATCCGGTCTTGATCGCACCGGCTAGTTTTCTTGCCAAAACTACTGAATCCTCCAATGCACAACAAGCGCCTTGCCCAAGATTGGGAGTCATTGGATGCCAAGCATCACCGACTAGCACGACTTTGCCTACAAAAGCGGGAGGGCTTATGGATGGCCAAAGCCACCTGTCCACGAGAGGGGTTCGGATAATTGTGTCATCTGGACTGGAATCTATTATGTCCAAGAGCTGTGAGGGCCAGTTCTTTACTAGTTCTCTAGCTTGCTTCTTCAACACTGATGGATCGGTTATCTTTGGACCTAACATAAGACAAGTAGAAAACTGTTAGAACAATCTGTTAAAAAGGATATTCCTTTTTGCTGTGTTTGGTTGGGAAATTTGGAAAAGGATTTAGAAAAGGAAAAAGTGTGTGAAACTAGATGAAATATAAGTATATTTTATTCACATTTCACCTTCCTTTTCTATTTTCCTTTTCAAATCCTTTCTCAAATCCCTCAACCAAACACAGTGTTTGTGAATTTTTCTTTAGCCATTCAAGTAAGGAAAGTAGCATTGGATGAGGTTACTATTAGAATATATTAGAATGGGAAATAATATTTGCTATAATTTATTCTTATTTGATTTTATTTTTCCCTTGATTGATGTAATGGACTGACCCATAATTTATGCCTAATGGTACTCCTGTAATTACATATTATTGTTAATATAAAAGTGGATGAGGTCTCACTCATTCCCTATCTCTTTCTCTTCTCTAAACTTACATGGTATTAGAGTCAAAACCCTAGCCCATCTCTCCTTCACTCTTCTTCTCTTCAGTCAGCAGTCCTTTCTTTCTCTTAGCAGTCCAGTCAGCCACTGTAGACCCTCACCCAATCCACTTACAGTCAACACAAACCTCTGACACCATTGCCCAGGTCTTCGGCAGTCCTCATGGGCTCCCCGACAGCCTATTAGGCTTAGTCGACAGCCCCTCTATTCTTCTAGGGGTCTGTCGACAGCCTCCCTGGCCTTCTAGGGGCCAGTTGCCAGCACCTCTGGCCTTTTTGGCCTCTGTCGGCATCTTGCTTGCCTCCTAAGCCCCTGTCGACTCTCCTTCTGTTGGCTTCTTTCGTCTTCTCTCTTTTCTATCATGTTTCTACTTAACACAGCTGTTAACCATTTAAAAAAAAAAAAACAAAACAAAAAAATCTTAATTTTCAATTTTTTATGCTTTTTTTGTGGTCATAGTATTTACTATTCCTCCGCCATCTTCTGGGTTTGTGACTGGCACTGGGTTTGAGGGTTACTTAGTAGAATATCCATGGCAGATTCTACTAGTGAGTCAACAACTTCTCAGTCGCCTAAGAGTAAGAGTCCCTTTATACTTTCTACTATGACTGATAATCTCAACCCTGGCTTTAAAATCACCACTTCTCTGTTCAATGGTCAAAACTATCTAGAATGGCCGCAAAGTCTGACTATTTTTTTGAAAAGCAGATGGAAGATGGGGTATGTTGATAGCAGAATAGAGGCACCCAACATCATGGACCCTAGTTATAATCAGTGGGAAATCACCGACTCTCTCATTATGAGTTGGTTGATCCACTCTATGGGCCCTGAGATTGGAGAGGGCTATTTGGCTATAGACACTGCACAAGCTATCTGGGAGGCTGTTGTTACTACCTATTCCTGAAAGGGGAACTTCTCACAGGCCTTCGATTTACGTCGCTCCATTGAAAGGTCGGTATAAGGTGAGATGACTATTCTCCAGTATTTTACCTTCCTTAATAATGGGTGGAAGCCGCTTGATCACCTTCAGAATTACAAGCCTGTCTGTCCCACTGATTTTATTGGTTATCGGAAGTTTGTGGAGCAAGAGCGGGTTTTCAAGTTCTTGGAAGGTCTGAATGTGGAGCATGATCCGGTTCGGAGCAAAGTCCTTGGCATGGACATGCTTCCTTCTCTCTAGGAAGCCTTTTCTTTTGTGCTGAATGAGGAGAGTCGCCACTCTGCAATGCTTCCTTCTACCACTACTGATCGCTCTGTCTTGGTTTCTGCACCCCCTCGAGATGGAGAGTGTGTGCCTCATGGTTCTCGTCCTTCTTCTGAGAAAGATAATCTTTACTGTGACTATTGTCGTAGACCTAGACACACACAGAAGACTTCCTGGAAGCAGCATGGGACTCTTCCTGGTAGCCGAGGCGATCGTCCTGGTTCTCGAGGAGGTCGGTTAAGCTATACTAGAGGCCGAAGGGCCAATGCTTGGGCACATCTTTCTAACACGGTTGACCCACCACCTTCAACTCCTGTTGCCTCACCAACTGCTGATGTTTCTGGGTTGTCTGCCTCAGAGTTTGAGATTGCTCTTCGGCACTTGCTAAACCATTGAGCCTCTACCACTGTCTCCGGTGTATCCTCTTCTTCCTTCGCCAACGTAGGTAACTTGGCTTCCTCTCCCAATGCGTTGCTATCTCATAAGACTGTTCCTTGGATTTTTGATTCTGGTGCTTCCAACCATATGTCTTGTTCCTCTAATTTGTTCTCAAAGTATACACCCTCCTCAAGTTAGGAAAAAGTGCGTATTACAGACGGTATTATTTCATCTGTGTCAAGGAAAGGTTTAATTCATGCCACATCTTCCCTTCCTTAATCCTCTATATTTTCATGTTCCCAATTTTAGTATTAATATCTTATCTTTGAGTCGTATTACTCGTGATTTGAATTGTAGCGTGACGTTTTTTTCCTGATCACTGTCTTTTGCAGGACCTTATCACAAGAAAGAGGATTGGCAGTAGTAAAGAAGAACATGGTCTCTATATTCTGGATCAGACTAACAAGCTGGCTCATTCATATATTCAATTACCATCCACTAACGAAGACCTTTGGTTGTGGCATCATCGCTTAGGATATCCTTCTTTTTTACTTCTTAAGCATCTTTTTCCTTTTGTTTTTTAGCACAATAATGTGTCTGATTTTCAGTGTGAGCCATGCTAACTTGGAAAACAACACAAAGCTTCTTTTGCTCCTTCTATTAATAAAAATTCAGTTCCATTTTATTTGATTCATTCTGATGTGTGGGGTCCCTCACGTTTTGTGTCTTTAAAAGGTCAAAAATTGTTTGTTACTTTCATAAATGACTATTCTAGGGCAACTTGGGGATATTTAATAAAAGAGAAGAATGAAGTGTTTTCTATGTTTCAAAAATTTCATAGAATGGTTTGCACTCAATTTGGGATGATTGTCAAAATTCTACATTCTGATAATGAGGGAGTATATTGACTCTAGTCTTGCTAGTTATTTTGCCACCCATAGCATTATTCACCAAACTTCTTGCACTAATACTCCTCTACAAAATGGTATAGCAGAACGAAAAAATCGCCATCTCCTTGATGTGGCCCGTTGTCTATCCTTTGAAATGTGTGTCCCTCGATCATATTGAAGGGAAGCGGTTCTCACTACAACTTATTTGATTAATCGTCTTCCCACCCGAGTCCTTCAAAAATGAACCCCTCTTTAGATTTTGTCACGGTCTACGTCTTCTGGGTTCTTCATTCCTCCTAAGACTATTGGATGTGTTTTTTTTGTCTATAATCATTCACCTACTCATGGTAAATTGGATCCTAGATCTCTTAAGTGTATTTTCCTGAGTTACTCTGCCACCAAAAAAGGCTATAAGTGTTATCATCCTACATCTCACAAATGGTTTGTCTCCATCAATGTCACCTTATTCGAGTCTCAGCCTTACTTTCCGACATCCCTAGTGTCCCCGTCATCCCTTTAAGGGGAGCTTTGGTGTGAAGAGATTCATGTGCCACTACCACCAGTAATAGAGGATATTAAGCTAGCAATTGTTGTGGAAAAGGAAGAAGGCAAAGTTTATGTCATGGACAAAGATAAACAGAAAGTCACCTGGATACAAGAGACTACTTTCCTTCCTCTACTGCCAACTTCTTCTCCGGATGAGTGTCCAAAGTCATCCCCCTCTCCCGAGAGTCCAGGTAATTCTGATCCTAATACTCTTATTTCTGAGTTCTCAGATCATGATGTTCTCATTGTTAATAGGAAGGAGGTTAGGTTATGTACTAAGAATCCTATTAATAATCATGTCGTTTATTCTAATATGTCTCCCTCATATAAAGCCTTATGTCTACAAGTTCTTTTGTAAGTTTGCCTAACAATTTTTAGGATGCTCTCTCCATTCCTGAATGAAAACATGCCATGATGGAGGAGATGAGAGCTCCCAGCAAGAATGGCACGTGGGAGTTAGTGGACTTACCTAGAGGCAAAAATCCAGTTGGGTGTAAGTGGGTGTACATTGTGAAACACAAAGCAAACGGTTCCATAGAACAGTACAAAGCAAGACTGGTTGCTAAGGGCTTTACTCAGACTTATTGGGTAGATTACCAGAAGACATTTGCACTAGTTGCTAAGATGAATTCTGTGAAAATACTACTCTCTCTTACAACAAATTTGGATTGGCCACTTCATCAGTTTGATATAAAAAATGTCTTCCTTCATAGAGGCCTAGAAGAAGAGGTCTATATGGATATTCTCCTTAGCTTTGAGGATGCTAGGTCCAAAGGTAAAGTATGTAGGCTTTGAAAATCACCTTATGGGCTAAAGCAGTCCGCTAGGGCTTGATTAAAAAAGTTTGCTCAAGCTATGCTCAGATATGGGTTCAAGCAAAGTTAAGTTGATCACACATTATTTATGAAACATTCCTCACATGATAAGACCACAACTCTTATTGTTTATGTTGATGATATTGTTTTAACAGGAGATGATGGTGAGGAGATCCCTCAGTTGAAGGAATACTTCGCCAAGGAGTTTGAAATTAAAGACTTTGGTAATTTGAAGTATGTTTTAGGCATTGGAGTAACTCGGTCCAAAGATAGCATCTTCATATATCAGGGGAAGTATGTACTTGACTTGCTAAAGGAAACCGGAATGCTTGGAGGTAGACCATGTGATACACCTTTAGAATCGGGCCAGAAACTAAGTGAGGATCAAGGGGGAGATCCAGTGGACAAGGGGAGATGCTAGAGGCTAGTGGGTAAGCTCATATACTTATCTCACTCACGTCCAGACATTGTCATTGCAATGAGCATGGTTAGCCAATTTATGCATGCTCCTAGACATTCCCACTTAGAGGCAGTTATGAGAATCTTGAGGTACCTAAAGTCTTTTCTTGGGAAGGGTCTCTATTTCTCAAAACATAGGCATCTCAGTGTAGAGGCATTTACTGATGTAGATTGGATTGGATCAGTCAGTGACAGACAATCAATTTCTAGATATTGCACATTTGTTAGAGGCAACCTAGTCACATGGCGAAGTAAGAAATAGAATGTGGTTGCTAAATCTAGTGCTGAGGCAGAATTCACGGTTATGGCTCAGGGTGTATGTGAGTTGCTATAGATTAGATTATTGTTGGGAGACTTGGGGATTCATCAGATTGATTCCATGAGGTTGTACTGTGACAACAAGGCGGCAATCAGCATAGCTCATAATCCAGTTCAACATGACAGAACCAAGCATGTAGAGATTGATAAGCACTTCATCAAGGATAAGCTCACTAGTGGCACCATATGTACTCCATTTGTAAAGACGGGAGAGCAACTAGCAGATGTTCTCACCAAAGGAATAGGGAACAAACCATTTCATGACATTCTCAACAAGCTGGGTATGAGAGATATCTTCGCACCTGCTTGAGGGGGAGTATTAGAATATATTAGAATAGGGAATAATATTTGCTATATTTTATTCTTATTTGATTTTATTTTCTCTTGATTGATGTAATGGGATGACCCATAATTTATGCCTAATGGCACTCCTGTAATTACATATTATTATCAATATAAAAGAAAATGAGGTCTCACTCATTCCCTATCTCTTTCTCTTCTCTAAACTTATAGTTATAAATCTTTAACTTCCATGTTTGGGCAACAAGAACCTTTTAACATCAAATCTATTTAACAGATCAAGCACCTTTAAAGATAATAGCTCTATGTTGAAACAAACAAAGAAATAAATGACCCAGTACATGAGCGTCTGGCTAAAGCGGGGTTGAGGGAGGCGAAGATGTATTTAGCCTTATCCCACATTTCTGGAGAAATTGTTTTCATGACTCAAACTTGCATCATCAGAGACGTTAAAGGCAAGCCTTAGCATATACCAATCCAGATGAGAATTATGTGGTGTGAATTAGAACTTCTGAAGGAATGTCAACTAACATAGTAAACATTTATCATATACCCTATAGTGGAAATGGCAAGTGACAATCCGACATAATAGTATAACAAATTGCTGGAAGAATCAATTGGGCAAATGCCTATAAACTATTTGGTTTTAAATGTTTCAATTACATTGCTTAGACAACATGACAGAATAAGTTTCCCAATCTACTAGGGTTTTAGCGCCCACGACGAATGAATGCCTTATCCATCCTCCTATATGATGTATGTACTCAAACAAGAGATTGTGTTGCTCAACAACATTCCATTAGACTTAAACCAAATAGCCATGTTATGGGATTGATAAATGATAGAAACTCATGCATAAATGAGTTATATTATACCTGGTGCCGAGCTGTTAAAGCAGATGAACCAATAAACTTTTGTCGGAGAAACTGGAACACATCCAGCACGCACTCCCTTTCCATAGATGTAGTTTACTTTTGGTTCATATGGCTGTCCATCAGGGTAGAATGAAAGCCCACGAAAAGCACAATGGCCTGCATACTGGGGCTCTGAGAATCCCATCCACTTGGCGATTGGAGAGCGGATTCCATCGCAGCCAATCACAATCTGTCAAAAAAAAGTTTTGAACTCCAAGAATTTAATTATTTTGCTCAAACAGTTAAAGAAAAAGATCTAAAGTATTATACCCAGAAATTAAATTAAGACACAAAACAATTGCTATGATATAATCTAATGATCAAACTCTTTGTTGATGTCTAAAATATGCTCAATAGAGAGATGCGTTAACTGAACTGAAAAGAAGTTAACCTTTGCAGATAGCCTTCTCCCATTCATGAGTTCCAATAAAGTTTCACCTGATTCACTTCTTTCAATCTTTGCTAATTTTGAGGAAAAACTGATTGCATCCGGTGGTAGTTGATTGGCAAGAGTCTCTAGAAGTATCCTCCTCTCCACAGCGCGAACCTCTTGGCTATGGCATCATCATGTAATTATTAGAAAATTTTGATGTGTTTCGCTGTGACCAAAGAACAGCAGGGAGATAACTGGAATTGTCACCTTTCATCTTCGTCTTTGAAGCTAAATGAGCGTAGCTCTGTTCCATCTTCTGATTTTATTGACATCCTGCACAGTTGATGCCATGAAAAAGCACAGGAGAAAAAGAATACATAGACACACCCACAAAAAAAAAAAGAATAAGAAGGAAAGAGGAAAGGAAAGAAAGCTCCTCATGCTTATGCTTTTCGTTATCCTCATATTTAACCTGGACAAGTTTACCAACACAAAGCACAAATGATTTAAAACCATTTGTATGATTCAAACATTTCCAGACTTGATGACATCCCAAAGTGATTATCGCCATAAACTTCCAAATTTGCCAATATGTGCACTGTTTTCTAGACTATTGAAATATTTCTTGTGCATCAAGTGCACCTCATTTGCATTCAAGCATGCCAATAGAAGTATGCCATTCACTTTCCTTATTGCAACAAATTACGATAAGCAAGCAGCCTCTAATTTTAATTAATATGTTGGAATATAGTGGTATCTCATTCAATAACTCGAAAACTAATCCAATTCAGAGACAACTTATTCTTGTACTACAATTTTGTTATCATCTTCCCACACAATTGTAAATGACATGAAATGGCAGTTACAGACAGAGCAAATGCAGGTATTCCTAGAACATTTGGTGTCCAATAAATCATTTGTCTCAATGAACTTGAACTCTTTCTACTTCTGACTAGAAGATTGTGGACAATGCACATAAAATTAGAATATTTTCTTGCCATTAACCAAATAATGAAGTATAAAAAATTACACTCTAAATGAGTGAGAGGAATTTTGCGAAAAATGAAAAAATAGGTACTCTAATAACCTTCCCTTGAAATTTTTGTTAGTATCAATTTTATGTTGGTATCAACACATACGTATGCATATACATACATATACACTAGAGGTCGTGCTACACGCATTGCTCGTATGCGTTGTGTGTATGCATAATATAACCGCAGCAGCTTACATTAAAGAGAGATTTTGAATGGTGGATTTTATAGCTCTGCCCTTATTGTTAAGACAAAAAAAAAAAAAAAAAAAAAAAAAAAAAGAAAAAAAAAAAAGGGTTTTCGAAATAGTTTATGTTGGACAATTTCGACAAGGAAAAAAAATATTTCACAACTCCAAAATGTAACACTAAATTGACGTGTCCACTTTAGAATATAGTATAGATATATTTAACTGTGAGTGCAGTTTTCTCTTCTAGTGATTCTGTATATGTTAGTAAGAAGACCAATACAAATGCATACATATCAGAACACACCCACTCATTCATGTATGTAACTTATTTGGCATGAGGTTGCGGGGTTAAAATAGTCAAAAATTAAAAAGTTAATAAAATAAAACACTACATCTAAACTATAATAATTTTATTTTTTTTCTTTCAAAAATCAACAAAGCTAAAAAGTCTATCACAAACGAGACTTTTTAACCCCAAATTAAAATAGATAAAAAAATCAACCGACATCCCAAACGAACAATACCCGTACATGTACATATACTATATAAATATATATATATATATATATATTTATATAGTATATGTATGTATCATTGCAAATTTGTAATACAACGAAATAGGACAAAATCAGAATTTCATTATTGAAAGGATTAAAAGACAAATAATATTTTTTTACCATATACACAAACATATATATATATATATATATATATGAATAATATTATATATAAATTATATGTATACACACAAAATTCAAACATCATAGAAACATATTGGATAAAAAAATTATTTCGGTACAAAATAAAAAGAGAACGCAAACATAAATTTGTTGGAAAATTTATAAAGAAGTAGTTGTGAATTGAAATAGATTCCATTTTGAATAAAAGTGTATAACTTTTCATGGTGTCTTTTTGTTTTAAAAGAAGGGTCAAACCTTCATTTCAGTGAAAGGGTGCAACCCTTTCATGGTGTCTCTTTATTTTAAAGGAAGGGTTATGTCCCTTCTTCATGCCTTTTCTATTCAAATTGAATAGGTGCCAACAAAGCCTATATAAAGGCAGCCCATTCCAATTTTGATTGATTCCGAAAATTCATTTTCCTTGCCTTTATTTTGCTCTCTTGCATCCTTTATTCTTTATATTATTTTAAGGAAAATTTCAAAGAGTTATAGAACACAAGGTTCTAGTTCTCCAGACAAATTTGTTTGGAGTGCTACTACAAATTTGTGAAAATCATTGTATCCTGGGAGATAGACGCCACATAACCGTAAGCACCGTAGCGGGGCGAATCTATCTTAAGGACAGAGTGTCACACACTTGACTTGGTCTTTTTATTTTTCGTTCGGTTCGATAAAATAAATTATGTAAGTTATTTATTTTATTTATTTGATTTTGTTTCAATTTATTTATTGTACACAGAAGATTGTTCCAACAATCTTAAGACAGATTCGAATTATTCTGTTTACAGAATTTTTCGTTTATTTCCTTTCTTCTTTCTTCTTCTTACAGAAATTATTTTATGTGATTTTACAAAATAATATTCTGGTTGGAAAACAAATAGTAGTAATATACTGTTTGGCATATAGTAGTAATATACTGTCTTTTTCTTTGACAACTAGTAGTAATATATTGGTGTCATTAACAATTCAGAATATTTATTTGTGGAATTTTGTCAGAAATTAATTTTGGTTTTCTTAATTTATTTCTGAGTGTTTAATTAAAAAATTCTGTTTTAGTTTTTTTTTTTTAAATTATTGAAGTGTTACATAAATTTTATTTTCTGTGTGGAATTAATTTGGTTAAATAAAATTTTATTTTATTTCCAAATTAATTGAAAAATAAAAGTTACATTCTTGTTTCTTTTATTTTTACAGAATTTAATTATGTGAATTTGGATTAATTTTCTGTGTAGTATAAATTCTAATTATAATTTTGTTTTATAATTTAGAATTCATGGCTACTGAAACAAATGCTCAAACAAGTACTAGTGTGGTGGCTGCAATTGCGCCAACACCCTCTCCTGTTGTGACAGTACCGGTAAATCACGGTGTGAAGCTAGAGAAGTTCTCATAAACTGATTTTAAAAGATGGCAACAGAAAATGTTGTTCTATCTTAAAACTCTAAATCTGGCTCGTTTTCTCCGTGAAGATGCTCCTATTTTGAAAGAGAATGAAACCGATCGGCAAGTGCTTACTGCGGTCGATACCTGGAAACATGCTAATTTCCTTTGTCGAAACTACATCATAAACAGACTTGACAACACATTATACAACGTCTACAGTCCTATCAAGACAGCAAAGAAACTTTGGGAGTCTTTGGAGAAAAAACACAAAACGGAAGATGCCGGTTCAAAGAAATTTGTGATTAGCAAATTCCTGGACTTTGTTATGGTTAATTCTAAAACTGTGATCAGCCAAGTTCAAGATCTCCAACTCATTCTGCATGATATTTACGCAGAAGGCATGTCTCTCAGTGAATCCTTCCAAGTTGCAGCCTTAATTGAGAAATTACCACAAGGCTGGAAGGAATTCAAAAACTACCTCAAACACAAGCACAAAGAAATGTCTTTAGAAGAATTAATTGTGGGTTTGAGGATTGAGGAGGACAACAGCAATTCTGAAAAGTGGGCTGGTAAGCATCCTATGGAGTCTAAGGCAAATGTGGTGGAACATACTCCAAAAGCAAAGAAACGGAAGTTTTTTGGAGAAAGTTCATCACAAGGCTCTAAAGGAGGGGAAATTAAAAAGTACAAGTTTAATGGTGAGTTTTACATCTGTCACAAAGAGGGACACCGGACTAAAGACTGTTGTAGCAAAAGCAAAAGCAAAAGAAGAACTAACAAGAAGCCTGCTCAAGCCCATATGACCGAAGTGCACAATATTTCCAATGCTGTAGATGACATCATCTTTCTGCAGTTGTTTCCGAGACAAATCTTGTCGGAAATCTTAAAGAATGGTGGGTGGACACCGGTGCTACTCGCCATATTTGTGCCGACAAAAAGATGTTCACATCTTATTCTACAGTGGACAACGATGAACAACTTTTTATGGGCAATTCCTCAATTTCCAAAGTTAAAGGACAATAGAAGATTGTTCTCAAGATGACATCCGGGAAGGAACTCATTCTCAGCATTGTGCTGCATGTACCGGACATTCGCAAGAATCTTATTTTTGGATCTTTGTTGAGTAAGAATGGGTTTAGGCTAGTGTTTGAAAGTGATAAATTTGTACTTACTAAGAATAGGATGTATGTAGGAAAAGGTTACATGTCTGATGGCCTTTTCAAGATGAATGTAATGACCGTTATACCCGCAGTTATTAATAAAAATATATCTTCTTCTTACTTGCTTGAGTCTTCAAATTTATGGTATGGTAGACTAGGACATGTTAATTATGGATCTTTACGCAGATTAATTAATATGGAATGTGAATTTGACATTGATTCAAATCATAAATGTGAAATTTGCGTTGAGGCAAAATTATCCAAAACTCCTTTCCATTCAATTGAAAGAAGTACAGAACCACTTGAATTAATTCCTAATGACATTTGTGATTTTAAATCAATTCAAACTAGAGGTGCGAAAAAGTATTTTATCGCTTTTATAGATGACTGTGATAGATATAGTTATGTTTATTTAATTCGAACCAATGATGAAGCTTTGGAAACTTTCATTCAATACAAGAATGAAGTTGAAAATCAACTTGGCTAGAAAATTAAGAAACTTAGAAGTGATAGAGGTGGTAAATATGAATCACCTTTTGGTGAATTTTGTAAAGAATATGGAATAATTCATCAAACCACCGCTCCTTACTGTGACAACCCTCACCTCTGATTAGTGTTAAACTGTGATTGAGCACGATAAGTAATTGATTAAGCTGAAATTCTAAACTGTAATGTTATATAACCGCACCAAGTCAAGTTAGGGGACTAAGTTATTGATTCCCAAGTGTGTAACTTAGTGTGTGTTTATTCTGCAACTGTGTGGGGTTGGCATTCGAGGACGCTCATTAGCTTGTCTATAACCCAGAACTTTGTGAGTAACAATGTTGTAAAGATACGTTCAATTATAACTATTTCTGAACGACTGACTGTACTGTTTTCTAAAATA